TCTCATGTGTCCAAGGCGAAAGCGAGGAGTGAGCTTCAGGGTGGAGGAGGTAGAAAGGTTTGTTTTAGCTACTCCCCAGAAAGAAATTCTATTTTCTTTTGTCATAGCCCTAACCTGCTGAGATAACCCACCCATCTGGCTGGCGCCTTTTCCTTTCTAACTCCGAACTTGCCATATATTTCTGTAACCCACATCTTGAGCTCTGTGTGGATAGTAAAGGAAGAGGCAGGGGGAATCCAAATGATAAATAAATGAACCCTGAGGTGCCACAGTATGGCACCTGCACATACATTCATGCCAAGCTGGCGATTGTTTTATTTATAGGCCATAATTTCTCTACATCTGAGCAAGGTGAAGTGCAGATTGTCATGGCAGATGGGTGGAATCAGCAGGAGAGATCTCAGCTGTTGGCACAAATTACAATTGCTCAAACTACTCTATTAGAGGAGTAAATGTCTGGATAGTTGAAGAAGGAGTATAAAACCTATGGCCTCCAGCAAAGGTATGCGCAAATATGTAAAGGTGATCACTGTTACTGTGGATATTACTGTTGTAATTATTTACATTTATTGCTTTATTTTTAATAACTGCTGGATCAGACCAAGAGGGTCGCCTTTGGTCCATCATTTTCACAATGTAATGCACAAAATGTTTGTATCCTGCAACTGGGCTTAGGTTGGAAAAGATATTTAAATTACCAGCGACTCCTAATATGTTTGCATCAACGATGTTTTTAGAAGCATTGACTTGCCCGATTGATTTTTGTGGTCCATATTTTCAGCTCTCTTTTCGATTTATGATCAAATTAAACAAAGTGAGGAACAAAAATCCAGCCCTGTTGGCCGCCTGTCTTTGCTGGATATCAAGAAAAATGGGAAGCTGTCAGACTCCCAAATGTGCCAAACCCTGGGGAAAAATTATTACGTTTCACTTGACATTTACTTAATTTTCCAAAATTCTTCAATGCTGTTATAAATAATCATAATAAAAAACCAGCATGGAAGCATTGTTAGCGGTATTTATTTTCATTTGCTTGATGATTTATGAGTTTGTCTGGAGAATTTTTCATATTATACAGTGTTTCACTCTCTCTCTTTCACACATGCATACCCATCACAATACATACCTTGCACACCAGATCTGAGGTCAGCTAAAGCACCTTGAGCATTTCTCCATTTAGAAAGAAATTTCTATTAATGGGAGGGTGATTTAGGAACGCACCCAAAATTCCCATCTGAATTTTTCAGCAGGTTTCTAGAAATCCAAATAACAGTTCCATTATGAGTTCTCAACTATTCTGTGCTTTTTCAAAAAATAAAAATAAAAATCAGAGTGTTGAAAAAGTTGTACCATGCATGTGCAGATTGCTGTAATCTTGGGTTCCTTCATGTCTTTTACAACTCTACATTACCAGTGGGTTTGTGTGCATTGATAAACATCAGAAACACAAACATGATGTGATTGTACAAGCAGTTCCACTCTTTTTGTATTTGCACATATGAGATGTGTGTGTGTGTGTGTGTGTGTGCATGTGTGGTGTTTCACCAGTGTGAAAGCACATGTGTGTACTCCTCCAGACAACCAGGAGCATTTATCCCTATTTGCTTGCATAAAACTTACACAGAGGTTAGACTATATCAAGCCCTTATTACACATTCATCCAGATGTTATTGCATTCATTCTGATTTGTTTACAGGGCAGTTGTATGATAATGAGCATTCGTCTTGATTTTGTGTGCAGGGTATCGCACATCTTCCTGTTAGTCATTCATTCATCTCCATACCTGTCAGCCATCTCAATTTGACCAGGACATCCTGGAAGCCATCCCAGCTTCTGATTGGATGCCTGAATGTCTCATTTTCAGTCCTGGTCTCTCTGGCGAGTCAGCGAGAGCTCAGCACTGAAAGATGCATACATTTCACGCAAAAGAAGGTGGCTGAGCTGGAGTCCATGGAGGGGGAGCTAGCTGCTGGTGGTGCAGGACAGACTGTCCTGCCAGGTCCATCCTGCTGGAGGAGGAGGAGAAGATGACACTGATGATGATGATGATGGGGAAGAGGAGGAGAAGCTGGATGTGATGGCCTGGGAATCCGATTCAGAGGTTGAACCGGAGGAATCCCAGCCTGCACAGGAGTCCCCGCCTCCAGGGCCGGCTGAACTGGGGCAGGGCCTTGATTCTGAAGTGCCTGCACCTGTGCCGGATCCTCAGGAGCAGGCACCAGGTGAATCCACTCTGGCTCCGGAGGTGGTTGAGGACTCAGTGCCTACAGGTGAGTCTCCCCCTGGGTCCAGTAACCCTTCAGCCTCTCCTGAACTGCAGAGGCTCAGGGCAGAGAGGCGGAGGGAACTGGTTTCTCCCAGGAGGAGTGCTCGCTTTAAGGCCAGGAGAGGCGGGTCTCCTGGGGGCCGGGACCGCCCCTGGCCTCAGAGAAGATAAAGGCCAGTCAGCCCGGTCCCAGGTTGCGGGAGCAACGTCGTTGAAGAGCTGTTTCGGCCAGCACTCAGTCCTGTCCTTGCCCAGCTCCTCGCTGTGGACCCCGCTTCACCCGTGGAGGACTGTCTGCCGACCCTCGACTCAGGTCCTGGACCTCGCCCCACGGTAACCTCCCCCCTGGACCAGCAACACTTGAGGATGTTCTTCTGGCACTTGCTGAGAGAGCTTGTTAGGAATACATTCTTCACGAAACAGAGTAACAGTTCCTGGAAACTTTAAAAAGCATTCCAGAAGTTTCTTCAGTGTGTGGGAGTGGCACTGCAGGCTTAATTGGTGTCAGCTGGAGATGCAATTAAAAGGAGGAAATTGAGCTTGCAATTTGAGGCACGAGGAGAGCACACATATGCTGTCAGTGTGCATGCTTACTGTTAGTTTGGATGCATGGTAAAAGTCTGCTGCTGATACTATGAGTTTGCGGTATCAGGACTGTTTATTACTAGACCGTGCCGAAGAGAGGAAGAATGACTCTAAATAGTTTGTAGATAGTAGTAACTGAAAATGCTTGTATAACCAAATGCTTGCATAAAGTAATTCTTGAAAGTGCATTCGAGTGTGACTACAGTTCTTGTCGTCTGCCGCCAGGGAAGCTCTGCTAGACACTTTGGAAAGCGGTTAAGGTTGGTAACCTCTAATAGAGCTGCTGCCACGGGAGTGTGGTACCGAAAGATTTGTGCCCTGATTTTAATTGGTGGAATCTTGGAGGGTGTGCACCTCATGCTTTTCAATGCATTCTCCTGCCACTTTCCCAACTATAGAAAGGCCGATTCACGTTCAAGCCTGGTTTTTCTGGCCTCTTTAATCACAAAAGCCTCACCCCCCAAGTCAATTTCTCTTGCACATTCTTTCGATAGGCAAAAAAGGTGGGTGGCTCAAATCCTTCTTTGCACAGTGCGGAGCTAAACTATGGAATCCTCTCCTCCATGAGGCAGTGATGGTGAGCAACCTGAATGGCTTTTAAAGAGGATTAGACCAGGCATAGGCAAACTCCAGCCCGCCAGATGTTTGGGACTACAATTCCCATCATCCCTAGCTAACAGGACCAGTGGGCAGGGATGATGGGAATTGTAGTCCCAAACATCTGGAGGGCCGGAGTTTGCCTATGCCTGGATTAGACCAATCCATGGAGGAGATAGCTATCCATGGTTACAAACAGTTGGAGGTTGTATGCTTCCAGGCAGAGGGCCTTCTCGGTAGTGGCGCCCTCCCTGTGGAACACCCTCCCACCAGATGTCAGAGAGAACAACGACTACCAGACTTTTAGAAGACATCTAAAGGCAGCCCTGATTAGGGAAGCTTTTAATGTTTTAATGTATTACAGTATTTTAATTTTTTTTTTGGAAGCTGCCCAGAGTGGCTGGGGAAGCCCAGCCAGATGGGCGGGGTATAAATAATAAATTATTATTATTATTATTATTCTGAATACCGGGGAGTCCTTTTGCATTCAGGTCATGCAAGTGGGCTTCCCATAGGTATCTGGTTGGAACAGTATGCTAGAATAGATAAGCCTTAAGTCTGATCCAGCAGGGCAATTCTTATGTTCTTAAGGGGATTAGACAATTTTGTAGAGCCATGGTGGCAATGTTCTATCTCCACTGTCAGAGGTAGGAGGAGAGTGCTGTTACACCTAGATCCTGCTATTGTGCTTCCATTTGGGGCATCTGTGAGAATAGTAAGCTGAACTAGATGGGCCACTGACCTGATCGAGCAGACTCTTATTTTCTTAAAAACCATAAATAAGCGATTCTGCTCCGATAGAAACCAGTTTCCATTTGTAGCCTGCAGTTGCATCCTTCAGTGGGGCTGGGAGACCTACCATCCTGTGCTTTGCCAACGAGTGGAGAAACAATGGCTTTCCCTCAGCCTTTTCCATTGAGCAAGGCAATATGGAAGTTGCTGGCTTTGGAAAGAGCATGCTTCCCCACTCTTTCTGCTTAGGAAGAAAGAAATGGTCATGGTATGATGCAGAGAGATTCCTCTTCCATGCCAGCTCTTATGAGCATCTTTGAGAAAAACTATCTTTAAAGAAAGGGACGCGGGTGGTGCTGTGGGTTAAACCACTGAGCCTAGGACTTGCCGATCGGAAGGTCGGCGGTTCGAATCCCTGCGACGGGGTGAGCTCCCGTTGCTGGATCCCTGCTCCTGCCAACCTAGCAGTTCGAAAGCACGTCAAAGTGCAAGTAGATAAATAGGTACCGCTCCGGCGGGAAGGTAAACGGCGTTTCCGTGCACTGCTCAGAAGTGGCTTAGTCATGCTGGCCACATGACCTGGAAAAACTGTCTGCGGACAAACGTCGGCCCCCTTGGCCAGTAAAGCGAGATGAGCGCCGCAACCCCAGAGTCGGCCACGACTGGACCTAATGGTCAGGGGTCCCTTTACCTTTACCTTTTACCTTTAAAGAAAGCAAACATTCATGTGTGAATCCAACATTCTGGAAATAAATTGGCAATAAAGAAAGAAATGGATAATGTTCAGTTGCCTGATTTTTTAATTTTTTTTTAACAGTTTCCCCTTTGTATGCTCCTTTCGATTTATGGTCAGATTAAACAAGGTGAGGAATGAAAACACAGCCACCTCCAGCCACCTTACCTTTGGTGGATAGAAATAATGGCATCATTTAAAGTAGTGAATGCATATTGTGCCCAGATGTTTAACTTGGGGTGGGTTCTAAATGTTAAGGAAAGGAAAGGAAGTGCTAAAAGAGAGGAGGCCAGGCACCAAGGTGCCTTTTCTTCCCACGGAGGAAAACAAAGAGGAATCAGCACCAGTGATGGATGAGGTGCAGCAGGCCAGGCTGACATCATTTACATATCACCGTGATGCTAGGCACTGCTCCCAGAGCCCTTTCCCCTGTGAAAAATGCTTTACAGTGACACACAAATATTTCAATCCATCTTCCAAGTGAGCGGAAAGTAGAACTTGATATTTTGGATACCATCCCCACCCTGGAAAGCATCCATAAAGGAACTTGAAAGGCCCCTTTGTTGCAATCTTTGGGTTTGGTAATCTTGTTTGTGAGCTGAGTGGTACATTTTGCACAGTGCCCCCACCACAATCACCACCGCATAAGTACATTGGAAGTTGTTATGCTGGTCAACCGGATGCATACAAAAAGCCCACAAGCAGAACCCACACACTGTCCTGTGGTTTCCAGAAACTGGTATTCATAGAGGCAGAGCACAGCCATCAGGACGAATAGTCTTATCTTCCATGAAACCACCACTTTAGGAAAGTCTGTAGCTCATCATGACATAGCAAACTAATCAGTTTATGAGCCAGAAAAGCTGCTTCTTCAGTCTTTCTCATGAAGATTTCCTTAAAACCTTGCTGCTCGAACACATTTTGGGATGTGACTTTGGGTTGTGTGTCCAATATCAGTCCTGCGAACAGTAGATCCATGGAAATTAACTTGGGCTAACTTGAGTCCATTTATTTCAATGGGCCTCTTCTGAATAGACCTAACCTGGGTACCATCTTGGGAAGAGGCTGGTGGAAGAGCCCTGGGGAGTTTGAGGATCAAAGGAGTCACCGAGACCCAACGGGTAACACTGGAAAACTCCATTCTAGAATGAAAGGTCTGAATACGGTCTTACACTTAGTGATTTCCTGGACTGGAAGACAGATTACCAAACTGTGAATCCATTGAGAAGTGTTGATGGCATCATAAATCACAAGAGATGAAAATTCCAAAGCAGCTCAAACGATTCATTTAAACTGTGGCACAGCTCCAGTTTATAGTTTGACCCAGAAGGGAACTGAGGACTTCCTCCGAAGGGCACCAGGTTGTTGAAATCTGTATGGAGCCTTTCATTCCTGCTACTTAACTAGTGAGACAATTTATACTGATTAAAAACAATGCTAACAGGCACATGGATTTTCATTTGCCAGGTTTTAAAAATCAAAGGCAGAGCAGATTTAGTTTGAATTAGGGATGCTTCTGAAATTTTCATACAAAATTCTCCTCCGGTTTGGAGTTCCAAATTGCTTTGTTTGGTTTCCAAAGGGGAACTAATGCATTAAAGAATTCTTGGTAGATAGACCCATTGACCTGGGTATTGTGAATTGGGGTGTTTGACCACATGAACTTTCGACACAGTTCCAGAATTGCAAGTTTCTCTTCCCCTTCCTCTCCCCACTTTCCTGCAATCCCTCAAAATCCTTTGACTCACTCTTGACTTCATTCCAAGGTGAAAGTATTGCTTAGGGATGGGCCAATATCTTGATTTAAAAGGTAAAGGGACCCCTGACCATTAGGTCCAGTCATGGATGACTCTGGGGTTGTGGCGCTCATCTCGCTTTATTGGCCGAGGGAGCCGGTGTACAGCTTCCGGGTCATGTGGCCAGCATGACTAAGCCGCTTCTGGTGAACCAGAGCAGCGCACGGAAACGCCATTTACCTTCCCGCCGGAGTGGTACCTATTTATCTACTTGCACTTTGACGTGCTTTTGAACTGCTAGGTTGGCAGGAGCAGGGACTGAGCAATGGGAGCTCACCCCGTCATGGGATTCGAACTGCTGACCTTCTGATCGGCAAGTCCTAGGCTCTGTGGTTTAACCCACAGCGCCACCCACGTCCCTAATATCTTGATTTAGGCTTTTCCAATCTAGAAACACAGGAAGCTGACTTAGACTGAATCTGACTAGCTCAGTACTGTCTACACTGACTGGCAGCAACTCTCCATAGTATCAGGCAAGGGGCAATTCCAAGCCCTGCCCAGAGATCTCAAGGATCGAACCCGGGACCTTCTTCATGCAAAGCAGATGCTGTGGCACTTGAGCTATGGACCTTTTTATGTGCAGCTCCCCATATTTCCACATCAGTTTGCTTTTTTAAAAAAATAGTTATCACGCAGATTGCATAGCATTTTAGCATTAATTTTTCCTGATGGTCACATTTTTGCACGCAATTTTCCTGAATGTGTACATATTTGCAAAGCCGTTCCCCCTAATATAATGCATTTGTGTATATTATTTTCATTAAATTGTGCATATTTATGCATACTTTCTTCTGATCTATGTATTTTTGTTTACCTTCATGGCAGGAGTGCTACAGTGCAAAATTCAGATAAAATTGAATTTCAAAGAATGGTTATACAGCACTTTGCATATTATTTCAAAAAGTGCAAATCAGGTAAGCTTCAATGTAAACAGACTCAAATTTCTTCCCAGTAACTAGTCTTATTTCTGGTGTGAGTCCAGCTTTAGTGGTCTATGAGATTTCTTCAAACAGTATGAAAGACCCCTCTGCCCCCATTGTGTAGCCTAAAGTAAATATTCATTGTTCTGTTAGTCACATGGAAATTACAGGGGAAGAAAGGAAATCACCATGCTGACAGCCCTGAGTAAACAGATATTCTTCTACTTACTCAAAACATACATTTCCCTGCTTACAAATGGTGCCCATGGTCCATTTAGCATCATATACACACAACAGTATCACTCACAGGCTGACTCCCAGGAGCAACACAGATGAGAACTAGGTTGCCTAGCGACCAGGGGGACAACAGGATGCTCAGATATATCAAATCAATGTAGTTCTGGGGGTTCAAGCTATTGGAAACAAAACCTGAACCTTTTGGCAAATCTCCAAAGCAGCTCATGCACTTTCGGCAAATCGTGGGGTAGTGTTCGGAACATGAGAACATAAAAATGGCTAATGGATCTGGCCAATGGTCCGCTGATCTAGTCATACAATCATAGAATTGTAGATTTGGAAGGGACCACAAGGGTCATTTAGCCAAACCCTCTGCAATGCAGGAATCTCAGCTACAGCATCCATGACAGATGGCCATCCAACCTCTGTTTAAAAACCTCCAAGGAAGTCCACTACCTCCCAAGGGAGTCGAACAGCTCTTACCCTTAGAAAGTTCTTACTGATGTTTAGTCAGAATCTCCTTTCTTGTGACTTGAAGCCATTGGTTCAAGTCCTACCCTCCAGAGCTTGTTCTGTCTTCCATGTGACGGCCCTTGAGATATTTGAAGATGGTGATCGTATCTCCTCTCAGTCTCCTCTTTCCCAAGCTAAACAGCTCCTTCAACCGTTCCTCATAAGGCTTGGTTTTCTAACCCTTGATCATCTTGGTTGCCCTCCTCTGCACACCTTCCAGATTGTCAACACCCTTCTTAAATTGTGGTGCCCAGAATTGCACACAGTATTCCAGATGTGGTCTGACCAAGGCAGAATAGAGTGGTACTATTACTTTATTTGATCTGTACACTATCCTTCCGTTGATAGTATAGTATCACCTTTAAAAGGGGACTTGATAAATTCATGGAGGATAAAGCTATCAATGGCTATTATCCATGATGGCTATGTTCTGCCTACACAGCAGAATGTTTCTGAATACAGTGGTACCTCAGGTTAAGAACTTAATTCGTTCCGGAGGTCTGTTCTTAACCTGAAACCGTTCTTAACCTGAAGCACCACTATAGCTAATGGGGCCTCCTGCTGCTGCTGTGCCACCGGAGCATGATTTCTGTTCTCATCCTGAAGCAAAGTTCTTAACCCAAGGTACTATTTCTGGGCTAGCAGAGTCTGTAACCTGAAGCGTATGTAACCTGAAGCGTCTGTAACCCGAGGTACCACTGTACCAGTTGCTGGAAATTTCAGGAGGGGGGCTTGGGTCCTGCTTAAAGGTTTCCCATAGACACGTGGTTGGCCACTTTGAGAGCAGCACTCTCCTTAAGTTCTTACATTAAGCTCAGTCAGGTCAGAACTTCAAAATACTGTGCATATATCAATTTGAAATGGATTTCTCATCACTCCTAATGGATGCCTCTAATGGATGCACCTCTGGGCAAAGTAAAGGCAATATCAGAGAACAGGGATGTGTCTCAGCTGAGCAAAAGCACCCAAGGAGAGGTAGAGAGCAGGCCAGCCAGTGGTGTGTGGTTTAGTGAGAATCCCAAGAGCTGGAGGTGAAGCTAAAAGAGCTTGATGTTGATAACACCAAGGGTGAAGGTTCAGTCCCCGTGTGGGATGGCTGCATACTCCTGCCTTGCAGGGCTTAGGCCTGATGATGATGATAATAATACTTTATTTATTTATTTATTTATTTATTTATTCATACATACATACATACATACATACATACATACCCTGCCCTTCCCAGTTCAAAAACCAGACTCCTGAGAGTCCCTTCCAACTCTACATTTCTATGATTCCAAAAGGCTACATTTCATTCCCATGCCTGAGGTTCCTTGCCTCTGTTTTAAAACAAAGAGATTTTGGAAACAGAATGTTCTCCACATGAACATTCCAACGCTCAAAGGCTGCACCACTGAGAACAGTGCCGTCAAATGAAAATGTTGAAGAAAGGTTGTTAGTGGTGGGAGTTGAGGGGGGGGGAAGAAGAGAATAATTACAGGTGGAAATCTGAAGTTTTGATCAGCTTCTGAACACCACAGAGTGCTCTGCATTGCCAGGCATGAATTTAATGGCGGCCCAGACTATGTCTTCCCCACCTCTTTTATCAAAGCTGCAGTCAGGCAACTCGCCCCCTGTTATTACTTACTGTGAGGCAAGTCTGTGCTGTGAAATTGAAGGGTATAATCACAGGTGCCAGACGTGGGGGGTGGGGGGAAGCAGATCCACATGTGCAAGGCAAAGAAGAGAAGAAAGAAAAGTTAAGCTGAATAAAAACATCCAAATGAGCTGTAAAAAATGAGATTACAGGGGGCTGGGGGGGGGAGAACCCGGAGGAAAGTGAAGGGGGTGGGTATTAAAAGCCACCACCACCTTTAAAATGAAAAGAGCTGTTGAACAGACTGCATAGTGGGAGCGGGAGGAGGTTTGATCTGAGTGTTGAAAGTTTCCCAGTGTCTCAGTTAATACAAGCAGAGACAATGAGGAGGACCATGACTCAGTGATAGAGGACGTGATTTGCATAGACGAAACCCCACATTCAACTCCCATCATCTCCGATTAAAAGAAACTATGGACTGTGTTACTACAAGACATAGTAATGGCCACCAAGTTGGATGGCTTGAAGAGACAATTGAATTGCTGAAGGAAAAGGCTATCAGTGGTTACTAGCCACAGTGGCTGCATCAGTAGGTGCTGGTCTTGGTCAGTTCCTTCGACAAGAATAAGGCCCCTTTTCCACAATAGGTGTGCAACACCTGGTGGCTCTATTTCAGAAGAGATTTGGGGGAGGGGATAAGAATTGGGCAGTGTGGTGTGATGGCAGTATTCACCTGACCCCCAGTCAGCTGTTGCTGTTTACCAGGAGGCAGAGGTTGAGGGGCAAGGCTGTGACAATGTTAATATGGTGCTGTTGCGTCTTTGGCGATCACCTGTGGCCGAGTAAGATTGCCTTCCATGAATATGGTCTTAATGGTGTGTCAGTGACTGTGGAGGCCAATTCTGGATTCATGCATCCTTCCATAGTGGGGACATAGGTTTCCGGGCAGGAGTTGATCACGGTGAGGGTTTTCCAAACATGCCTTCCTCTTAGCTCATTTCTCCCTTTCGTCCTGAGTTTGTGCTTCTTCAAAGTCCATGGCACTTTTGGTAAAGGATGTTCTCCAATTGGAGCGCTCGCAGGCCAGTGTTTCCCAATTTTGTGGGAAAGTTCAGGGAGGCAGGAGAGGATATATTGTTTAATGATATCCTTCTTAACTTGCATTAGCAAGTTCTATATCTTAGCAGAGTTTAAAGATTCCCCTTTGCTTGTTGCAGGCTCGTCTGAGCCTCTCTCTATAAGATTCCTGGTAATATCCCCTCTTGTCCCTCTTAAAAAGAATAGACATGACAATCTTATTAAAGTCAATATAAAAGTAGTTTATTCGCATTCATTTAATTCACAATTGGATCCCGGAAGGCAGACTTAGGTTACAAAAGTATATACATGTGGATATATCCCATAAGGGGTTAGTCCCAAGTGACTTCAGACAGGCAGTCACTTCTGCTAACACACAGAAAAGCAAAATGGAGAAGAGAGCAAAAGAAGGAGGTGTGCTCCCCTGCCCAGATTAGGCCACACCCACATCTAGTCACATGCAGAGGAAGTTTGTTCCAGCTCAGGAGGAAACAGGAAGTTTTCTTCTGGCTGGTACAAAGTGTCCCCTAGCATGTGCATTCTAGGAATGTTGTTCTTGACTGCTATGTGTTTCACATTCCACAATTTCCCCCTGCTTATACAGCATTTTTAATAGATTTGCCTCGAGAGCATCTTTAAATCTCTTTTTGTTGTCCACTGGTATTTCCATTCTTCTTGTTGTTGTTGTTTAGTCGTGTCCGACTCTTCGTGACCCCATGGACCAGAGCACGCCAGGCACTCCTGTCTTCCACTGCCTCCTGCAGTTTGGTCAAACTCATGCTGGTAGCTTCAAGAACACTGTCTAACCATCTTGTCCTCTGTCGTCCCCTTCTCCTTGTGTCCTCAATCTTTCCCAACATCAGGGTCTTTTCCAGGGAGTCTTCTCTTCTCATGAGGTGGCCAAAGTACTGGAGTCTCAGCTTCAGGATCTGTGCTTCCAGTGAGCACTCAGGGCTGATTTTCTTCAGAATGGAAAGGTTTGATCTTCTTGCAGTCCATGGGACTCTCAAGAGTCTCCTCCAGCACCATAATTCAAAAGCATCAATTCTTCGGCGATCAGCCTTCTTTATGGTCCAGCTCTCACTTCCATACATCACTGCTGGGAAAACCATAGTTTTAACTATACGGACCTTTGTTGGCAAGGTGCTGTCTCTGCTTTTTAAGATGCTGCCATTCTCTGTCTCTGCTTTTTAAGATGCTTCCATTCTTAAGTCGGTGCAAATACACCAACAGGGGCAACGGACTAGCCCCATTGGTGGAATCCAATTCACTGCTACAACACCCCACAAACTCCTGGTAAACAGCAGCAGGGTGACCAAGAGGAAGTCAAGTGACCATGGCTTTCCCACCATACTGTCCACTATTCTGGGGAACCAACACTCATTAAGCATCTTCAGAAGTGTGAGTGACACTTATCTTTACAAAGCAGGTCTCAGGATTCATGTCGGTTTGCGAAGCTAGAGTTAGACCCACAACTGGTGCCACTACAAGTTATGGTGGTGGCATGTGGCACGATAAAAACAGGGCTTTTTTCCCCAGTGGGAACCCACTGAAACTGAGTGCTGACACCTCTCAGGTGGGCACCATTGCCCTTCTAAGAGAATGAGGTGAGTTCAGGCACCTCCTTTTCCAGAAAAACAGCACTGGATATAAATAATGGGAACAGGTGATTAACAGACTCAAGAACCAACTGAGCACATTAACAGTCTTCAGGGCAATCATGGGCCCACTTAGATGACCCATGTGCTGATCATCCACTTCCAGCTCTTCCTTAAGAAGGTCTCTGAGGAATAGCAGCAACAGCACTGGCTATGTTCTCACAGCTGGGATGGTGACTTCTCCTGCTGTCTGGGAGCTCTCTTTTCCTACTCTGCTCTGTTTCAAGAGCTGTGCAGAGAGGCTGTCAAGATATAAGTAA